AGGTCTCGGGCCCGAGGAGCTGATGGACAAGCGATTCTACGATTGCATACAACAACAATGTGTCGCCCAAGCATCAACATGCCTAGAGGAAGCGAAAAAGAATGAGTCGATTGCCTATCTTCGCTTTTGGTACAAGGATCCCCGGGCCGACTTGGAACACGAGGGGGATGAGAGCGAGGATGAGCAAGACGAGGACGAGGACCTGGACGGTGGCAGCAGCAGAGCAACCTCGGACCAGAACGGCATGGATATTGACAGCGAATCGGTGATTTTGATCAAGGAAGAGGACGATGACAGGATACGCCTCGACAGCAGAGAGAGTTCAACGAGTTCAGCAACCTCGGCAAGCTCAAACACATTACCCCCACAACAGTCTCCCCGGACGTTTGAGTTGGAAGCTGTAGTTTCATGCACATCGGACGGGTTGGTCGTCGTCTTGCGCAGAGCACGACCTCCAATTCCTGACCTACAGCCTGTTGTTCCTTCGGCCTTCAACTATCAAAATGGCCTCTTTGCAGCACCATGGGCTCAGCAACCCATTGAGCCTTATATTTCCCCCGATCTACTGTACACATTCCGCCCGCCCTTTCTCCCCCAGTACATGCCTCTCCGCGAAAGCGTCAAGGCGGCAGGCGGACCTCCGATGGACCGTAAGTGAAACCTTTTTCTGCCCGATGTGGGACGTCCCGCGAGGGGTCTGTTTCTCAACAAACTTTTCGTGTAGAAACCGCTGGATATTACCGAGGAGAACCAGAGACTGATTACCAACAGACCTAATGCGATCCATCCGGGACGTGGCCGTGTTTGCCTGGGCGTTATCCGGTATCAACGGAAATCTGGCAACCTATGGCCATGGCATGCCGAGGAGAGGGGCACAGCCGCCAGACGGGCTTCCAGTGTGGGATCCAAATGGCAACAATGAGGAGCAGGACAAGGTATATGAGGCAAATCACCACCCACTAGCCGCGGCCCCTCACGGTTATGTTCGAACTCGACATGCATCATTAGACGACGGAATGTATGGTACCCACCAACAATACAATCGGAACTCATGGTCGCCACCGGCAGCAGCGCCATCATCTTATCGGTACGGCAGCGGATATGACGCCAGCCAACAACAATTACGGACGATGGCTTCTTATAACACATTACAACACCATACTCCCCAGCAGCAGCACCACAGAACTTATTATTCTCCCCAATCACAATCACAACCACAAGCAGGACATTCGGAACCTGGCCGCTGTCAATTACGAACACCGCAATGGGGTGAGCCATCGTCATCGCGCTCACCAATAGCGAACCACGGGCCTCTCCCACCAAACACCGGAGAGCCCTCCGCATCAACAAGATATTTCTGGCAGTAATTCTCCTCATGAAGGTGTTTGGGGCTGGTTATTATTCCGTGGATGGATTTTTCACCAGTCATGCATTACATGCTGGATTTTAAGGACGAAAATCAAGTCGAGGAAAGTTGGACTCTTTCATTCAAATATTAATGGCATTGTTTAGTTCAACTATTTCACACCACATATCAAACAATTGCATAGGCATGGGAACTGATACAGAAAAAAAAGCCACTTTAATAATTTATTTTCCTTTCTCGCGCTAGGTATAGGTCATAGTTTGGGGGAAGAGATGATACCCTTTTGGTTTTTGCTCGGGAGGACAGACAGCGGAGGAGGGGGGGGGGGGGGGGGATTTTGTTATTATTAATTATTGTTTATGAAAATCGAGAAGTTTATACAGAAAAGTGTGGCCATGTTTTAGACCACACGAGATGATGGATAGCTGCATGAACATGACCAAATATTCATGAAGCAGTGGAGGAGGGCTTCGGGCGGCATGACACCATCCCATTCTGTATCTGTTTATTCTCCCCGAGACTTATATTCACCCCATCTAGGCTGTGCTCCATGAAGATAGGCCGGCAATGTGGAGAGGAGGCAGGATAAGGAAACCCTAGGATAGTGTCACACCAAAGGCCCCCCTCCCTGCCCAGAGCGAGTCTCTCTCTCCAAAGACTTTTTAATCACGATCCCTCCGATCGTGTGTGACAAACACACTTTCTTTCACTTTTTCACACCGCGCGCGGAAGCACAACAGCTCAACTCAAACAAATCAATTTTTTTTTATAAATCTAGCAGATATGGATCCCTGATTCCTTTCCGGGGTGGGGTCTCGGGGACAAAAACAATCACAGTATCCATTCCTGATAATGAGACGACAGGATCAGATAGCATGATCATATGGGGAGGTGCAGAATCGATGCTGGATAACCAAGTTCATATGTTATCAACTCTTCTAGATGCCCATCGACCTTCTAAACAAGAAACAAAATGAAAACAATAATGGAAAAATAAAACCACATGACCACGTCCCAAACGCAAGCGGCCGTTTCGTCAACACCGCCGCTCAAAGAAACTAGGCGATGAAGGAACAACCAACCCCCTCCCCCCTCTTCCCCAGAAAAAGGCAGGGTGGGTCAACAAAAGAAAACTGGGAGAAGGAGAAAAGAGCGGGGGCCTAAGCTCCCCCCCTGGTTTTAAGGTCCCCACATGGTCTAACTGCTCAGTACCGGCGTACCTGTTTGCTTGGCGCAGCAGGACAATCTGGCCTGCTGGTCTCTGAGCAACGTCAGTCAGTTTTGGGGACAATTGCGCGGCCTTGTCACGGGAACTTTACAGACGATCACCAACCAAAGGAACGAAATAACGACACTACGAAATTGATTGCGCATGAGGCTCGACGCTCGAGTAACACATACGGAAGCAATATAACAACAACGAACCACACAAAGCAGGGGGATCAGCTACGGCAACGAAAAACAATGGCTGCCCCAAATAGAAGCCATTACCAATCCGCCCCCCAAGTCGACCTCGAAAACAATGATGAGGAGGACATCAACGACTTGATCGACCCCGATGATGGTTTGCCCCCCTCCCTTCCCCCCTTTATCCCCCTTTCCTACACTAACCTGTTCCCCTAGCCGACATCAACTCCTTCGACGACCCCCTCCACCCCCAACCATCCTCCTCCCGTTCCCTCCCCTCGGGCAACATCTCCAGCACAGCCCAAACCGCAACAGCCATCTCCTCCCGCTGGGGCCTATCGGGTGAAGACCGCCCCGCCCCGCTCAATACAATCGACGAAGCCGTCTCCACCACCCTCCTCCGCGATCTTTCGGCGATCTGGTCCAAGCTCAAGGAAGTGCTCTACCCCAAGTACCTGTTCGGTGGCACCATGACGTCCATCTCCGACGTGCGCAATCTCCGCTTGGCACAAGCGAGGGAGGAGATTGTTGGTCTCGCGACAAGGGCGATGGATGCCGATTCACTGCTGAACAACAACCATATGAGCAGCGGGTTAAGAGACTGGGATTTGTGGGGGCCGCTGGTGTTTTGCTTGCTGTTGAGCACGCTATTGAGTTTCAAGAGCAGGGAGCAGCAGAGGGAGGTTGTGTTCAGCGGGGTTTTTGCGATGGTTTGGGTAGGAATGGGGGTGGTGACTGTGCAGATTCGGTTGTTGGGGGGGAATATGTAAGTCACCCTGGGGACATGAAGAGCGAGGTGAAAGATGTGCTAACTAGTAATAGATCCTTTGCGCAAAGCGTGTGTATCATTGGGTACACTCTCTTCCCGCTCGTCATCGCGGCGTTGTTATCGGCGCTAAGCTTGAACTGGATCGCGAGGATCCCGGTGTATCTTGTGTTGGTGGGGTGGAGTTTGGCGGCGGGGGTGAGTATTCTGGGAGGAAGCGGGGTGGTGAAGAATAGGGTTGGGCTGGCGGTGTATCCGTTGGCGGTGTTTTATTTGGGGTTGGGGTGTTTGTGTTTTATCTCTTGAGCAAAAAGGGGGGAGAGATGTGGGACAGGGGAAATGGGAAAGGGGGAAGTGAGGTGTATTGATAGGAGGCGACTATTTTCGAATACAGCAGTTGTATCAGTTCCGGAATTTTTGTTTCCTACTTGACACGTAGGCAGGCGATTGAAAGGAAAGGGGTAATGGTAAAATAAAGTTTCTTCTTATCTTGTATCTTCTGGGTTTTCTTATTGGCATTGTGAAGTGAGATCCAAACGTAGACGTAGCTACGTCAAGCCATCAGGTTGTCGAGATACATATCGTATGTTGAGAAAAAGGGAGAGTACAGCATACAATCCTGTACATCTTCGATTGTCATGGTGCATGCATGAGTTAAGAGAACTCCTGCAATCAAACACGTCAAAGGAGCAATGTTCGCAACCTGAGTAGGAGGGGAAATGGATGGAAACAAGCTAAACAAAAAAGAATTAAAAAATTTGACACCAGGAATCGAACCTGGTTCTCTAGGGTATGAAAGAACCCATGATGACACATACCAGAAGGTTACTAGAGCAAGACCTGGGCTAGATACTAAACCACTGTACTATGTGGAAGTTTTTTCTTGCCGTCTTTGTTGGGATGGTGTGGGGGTAGGAGGTACATGTAGGTTAGGGGAAAGAGTCAGGAGAGAGAAGGAAGTAATGGAGAGAGAGCGTGGAGGGGAGTGAGTATGGGAGTAGGAGACCAAAAGTGCTTTGAGGAGGCCAGTGAGTCATGGATATTGAAATCATGAGCTCACTCATGCGCAGGTAACCATGGCTCTCTTTATATATATGCTTATGAATAACACTGTTGAGAGAAAAAACATTGCAAGGTGTGATCTGTCTATGTGTGGCTGATGAGCATGATATCTACCGCCGAATTCCGCGGACTGTTCCATCAATCTCTGTCTGATTGACCCCTGAACAGGCAACAGTATCACAACTTGTTTGTGAGCCTTACTTAGCACACACACACACACACACCAGCGTCGTTCCATTTGGAGATTTAGCACACAGATATCAACACGATGAAAATTATTGACAACATCGTCCGGTTTATATTCTCAAGTCATGTCATCCTCCACATCTTTTACATCCTCCAGTGTATAAAACCCCAGGACTAAACTACCCAGACGCAAAAAGAAATCTTTCATGACTCTGCCCATGCCAGGAATCGAACCTGGGCCCCACGAGGTAGGTAATAATACAATAGGGTAATTCCAACACGCTAACACGCTAATTGCAGCGCTGTTTGAGGGGTTTTCCTACCTCGTGGAATGCTAACCACTACACCACACGGGCTTGTGTTTCTCGTTGTTGGAAAGTGTAAGAGGCAGGAGGGATATGTAGGGGAAGGGGGTGAGGGCAGAAAGTTTGAGAGGCAAAAGCTTGATGTAGGGGAAGGCAGCTGTGATGGAAAAGGAGCTACAAGGAGATAGGGGGTGGGGATAGGAGGTGCTAGACCGGACTTGACAGGGCAGGTGGGGACACCTCACTGGTTTACCGCCGTCTGTCGTTCTGTTTTCGAAAGGCAAGTTGGTGGGAGATGGTTGTTTGGCAATGAGGAGGTATGTGAGCAGTGTGAAAGATTTCTGGTCAATTTTGGTATAAAAGATCCAATGGGACAAGCCCTGGAAATGGAGGCATGTTCACATACCTACCTGTGGCAGTGGCTGTTGGGTTACGGGATAAAACCAGAGACCAAAGAGACGGCGAAAAGCAGAAGCTTCACATGCCAGATCTTAACCCGGGTCTCCCAGACCGGCGCCACAGACAAATCTAACAGACGGATCATGGTATCTAGGCTAATCACTGGAAATTTGAATATAAAGCAATGCCTTGTAAGCTGGTAAATGGAGGTAAATGAGTGGTACGAATATGCTCTTGCCGGCTGTAGCGGGATAGGTACTGAGGAACGAACAGCTAGTCCCAGTGCAAAGGGAACCCACACTGGCCAAAAGAAAACAAAAGGCAAAGGGAATTTTCTCGCACCAGGATTTGAACCTAGGTCTCCAAGCTTGTTAAATATCGCCGACCTAGGTTGGGGATCAATGGAGAAAGCCTTGGAATGCCTAACCACTACACTATACGTAGAGTTCTTTTTGTTGTTCTTGTTGGGAATGGTTCTGGGAAGCTAGCTTATGTGAGGAAGGAGCTGTGATTGGGAAGGAGAGAGATAGCGCAGAAGGTGGCGGGGAAAGAGCTGTGAGAGAGAAAGAGGGAAGGAGTTGAAGTGGGAAAGAAGCAAGAATCCTTGAGCAAAAGATTCAGCTTTGGTTGTATCTTCTATTGGCTCACAAATACTACGGATCGTTGTTGCTTTGAAGCCAAATTCCCTTTGACATCGCGAGAGGAGGACAGTGGCTGATCTGGCCGCTCGGTCTCCTTCCTCACAACCAGAGGTCACAAAAAAGAGAATCAGAGTCAAGAACCTTGACTACGGTATGCATCTTGGTCTCGGATGCCGTTCACTCACCCCCGCCTGATTCTCCCGTCTCCGAGTCTGGGAAGTTGCCGAGACAAAGCCTCCGAGAATCACATGTCAAAGATCTATCCCGGGACCTATCTATCTGCCGCTGGGCACCTAGTTTCTTGTTGAAAGCTGTGTTCACGCAGTGTCGTCTCGAAGTTGGTCATCATGCTCAACTTGGCATTGCGTTGTCGTCTGTGTCACCACAGGGGCAAAACTTCATGTCGAGAAGTGGTAAGTCGTGTATGGGAATGTTTAGATGGGAATAACATACCATAGACCAGCATCGCAAAAGCATGTGCGAAGATAGGATGGTATTCTTGGAAGAACCGTGCGAGAAGGCAGTTGGACAGAGTATCTGGAAGGGAAATACGTGGACCGCAATCGAAATGAGCAAGACTGCGCTGTGTCTGTTTATAAGCAAAACAAACAGTCAACAATAGGCCATCTGCTATAACTGACTCCACGTTGCCTTCCGTCAACTCAGACAAGAATGACGTGCATATATCATGATCTGGTCCCCTCCCCCCCAATCCGTTGTTAGCGTGAACGTGGACGGACTGTGAACCGGGAAATTGACCAAAAAAATTGAGACGGCGAATCAAAGATCGAATTTTGATGTTAGAAAGTGGGAGATTGGAGAGGTTGGGCACCGTTGAAACGGCCAGAGAGACGAACAACGGAACGTTTCTGTTCTTGGGCTTCGGATTCGTTTGGCTTCGGGTTGTATTGTGAATCTGCATTGGGCATCCTTCAACTGATTGTCTTACTTGGCCGAACGGACGATCGAGTGTTTGGCGAGAGCCATCCCCAATGGGACTGTCGTGAGAATTGATGGAACACGCCACCTCTCCCAGTTCTCTGGGCCCTAGAAGATCAAGCTTTTCCTGTGTTTCCGGTTGGATCTTGTTTTGTTTGATAGATTATCATATTTGTGTTGGCTATGGATCTTGTCAAACAGGCTGCTCGGGTGCTGTTACCGTTTGTGGATCTTGATCTGCTGTTGTTTTTGGTTGGAAATTGGATGCACTTGGGGTCCGATATCGGTTGAGCAACGGTGACGGCGGCGACGGTGTTACAAGCGCAATCATCAACTACTCAAGGCGAGATCATAATAATGAGTCACAGCACACGGGAAGCAAGGTGAACAAGTGCAGAGATCCAATAATCTCAATTTCCTAATGTTTTTTTTTGTCCGTATATACACAGACCTCTCCTTCAGGGTAGGGTCAAAAAGACGACGATGTCAAGGCTCGGTTTCCAGCCAAGGTCAGTCCGGTAGACGGCTTTCTTGACGGATGCTGAAACGCTTGCACCATCTCAGAGGAAATGGGACCGATGTTAATCAGGACCCTTGGTTCCAGCATGCCTTTCCCTCCCCGTGAAAGAAAACAATAAATCAACAAAATGTACTAGAAAAATTCCAACCCTATCCCATCCATCCGAACAATTGTCCATGATATCTCCTCCGCTTTCTTCCTTTTCATTCCATTTTCTTTTTTTCAGAACAAACAATCTTGTGTGTCGGTATCCATAATCCGAAAAGTCCCCCATCCTTCATTCAAACATCCGCCGTCATCATTTCTCTCTCATGCAGCAGCGGCAAATGCAGGTTTTCCCCCTTTCCCCCCTATCAACACACAGTCGAAGGCGGGGTGTCGGCTCAAGCGGTATTAAAGCCAGTAGGTGGTACATAGAAATAACCCCCGAACAAAAACGCCAAAAGTTGAGAGGTGTGCGAAAGATGACAAAGTTCAACCAAGTATGAGATAAGCCGACCATAATCCGTACTGTTTGAACCGGTTCGCCATAAAATCAAGATAAAAGAAACATAAAAGTCGATGTAAAGCTCCTCCCCGTTTGTTGCTTGTCCAAAATCTTGTTCGACTCTGAAGAGGCATGACTGTTTGCCATGAGTCTTGTGAGAAACATTAAAGATGTTCAGACCTAAGAAATCAAATGATGCCATCCAAAAAAACGCAGCCGAGGCTATGCAGACATCGTAACCGTGGAAAATCGTAACCATGGGAAAAGAAATCCGGGACATGACGCTCTCGTGGTCTCGTTGGCGTCGTAAAGATGGATGAAGTGGAGCTGGTGTGGATAATAAACGTCTCGAGTGCGGCACAAAGGAGATGGTGCAAAAGAGCGAGCCTAGGTCGCTACCGCCGTGACAGAAACTCCCCAGGATTGTAAGGACAAAGATCTAGTTCTGATGATCGTCATGATTACATATACTGCGGTGGAAAGTAAGCAGAGGCGGGCGGAGGCGGGGGCCCAGGTGGAGGGCCCCTGTAAGACTGCCTCCTCCCTCCTCCTGGTGGTGCGGGTGTCCTTCTCTCGCGCAGAGGCTCGAGTGGTGGTGGAGTTCGGCCTCGGGGAAGCGGCAGGGGCTCTCTTTCATGGGGATGAGGGGGCGGGGCTGCGAGGCTAGGCCCGCTCACCGCAGTCCCGGGCCCAGTGTTTCGTCGTGCTGCTTTGCGAGATCCTTGAAGGGCGCTGAGAGGCGGATCCTTGACGGCAGGCTCGTTATCGTCGGGAAGGGTCAGTTCAACCAAGCTGTAGAAGTACTCAAGCACCTCGGGATAGCGTTGAACCGATGCTTGCCAGTCCTCATCGATACCCCTCTTCAGCGCCTGTTGTGCGGCTGCAATCTCATTAGGATGCGGTGGAGCGTGGTAGTAGTGATAGGCATGAGCAGTGATGCGTTCCAAGTGTTGGGCGTGTGTAGCTTTGCGTCGCTCTGTCAATAGTCGGAAATACTCGAGGATGTAGTCCTGTGCGTGTGCGCGAACCCATGATCTGCTGATGGTATTAGTATGCTTTGTTGACACCTTGATCAGTGATAAGGTAGGAGTACTGACCTGATGTCATTGTATATCGACTGCATCATACGGGCCTCGGCTTGCCGAACCGCCACCTCCAGACCCTTGGCCTCACACTCGCAGGCGTGAGAAGCCGGGGCATGGCAAATGGCACAGTCGGGATCCATCCTGATTACCCCTTTGCGGGAGGATTTGGTGTTGGTGGTGGTGTTGTTGTTGCTGTAATTATAATCTCTGGAATACATGTTTAGTGCTTGACCTGTTGAAATGTCTCGGTGTGGTGTTTGGTTGTTCATGGGGGAAAGTGCCCGTTGAGGCTTTCAAATCAAGGTGATAATACACAAAAGTATAGTTTCATGATCTTGGTCATGAAACAGCGTGCTCTAGGGTCCTGCCCAGAATAACAAGAAATGATATGGAGGAAGTGGGAGAGAAGATCAGCTGGGCGGGAGATGTTCCAGTCCAGAAGATAAGGAACACGCAACACCTGACGGGCAGCGATGAGGTTCAGGTTGGGAGAGGGGGACTGGGGGACAAAGAGGGCGTGAATGGACGAGGGACTGGGTGAACAACAACTGACCTGGCCGATCGAAGCACGCAAGAAGAGGAGGACGCTCACACTCGGAGCGGGAGCAGCAGGGCGGCGATGGAATAGACTGACTGCAAGCAGCAAGCACGAAGCAGCAGCGGGAAGCAGCAAGCAGTCCACGAATGCGAAAGCTGCAGCAAGCAGATAGATGGTGCGTCGTGAGCGTCTGGGTATCTGCGTGTGAGCTGAGCTGGACTGGACGGCGTGGACGGAGGAGGAACTCACTTCTGGGGGCCTTCTGGGTTCAGTGACGGACAGAACCACGTCGGTTGTGTTTGGGAGAAAGGGAGGCAGAGAGGAGAGGCTCTCTTTGGTGGACTGCGGCCGAGGTTGCAGCAGGAGGAGAAGATGGAGTTGGGCGAAGGCTGGATCGCTGGCTCGCTCACACAGAAACCAAGGCGGGCTTAACCACGTTTAGTCTGGAATCTGTGTCGTGGCTCGAATGCGGGCGTATGGCAGCAAGTCGTCTGCAGCTCTTGCAGATGCCCAATGCCTGCTCAGCCCAATCCCGACACGCGATGAGCGCAAAGAAAGCGGGACCAGCACAGAGTAGCGTGGCTGGCTTGTTCCCGTTTGTTAATCACGATACCGAGGCGGGAGTATGGGCAGACACTATGAAGCAGAGCAATGTAGGTAGAGTGGTAGCAGCAGAAAACGCTGGGGCAAAGGAGGGGGTGACAAGATGTGCCAACGGCGAGAGAGGGGGGGGAGAGAGGGGTGAAGCGGAGGCGGTGGAGCCGGGACGAGGGAATATGGCGAGAGATCGCTTCCCGAATGGTCACTGGATCAGTGATATTTATTATTGAGGTGGCCGGTAAAGACCTTGGATGTGAAGAATTCAAGTTTAGGAGGAGCTCACGTGTGTCTTGTGAGAAGATCTGGGGAAATGCCACAAAACAGAAAAATCCAATATTAATAAGAAAAAAGCAAACGGGCGGCGAAGACGGTGCTCGGTGCTGGTGTCTCCTGTCTCGCCCGGCTGCATGGGGCAGGCCACGGGGGTCAAGGGCGGCTCAACAACGGGATTGGCGGGCAAAGACGGGGTACTAGAGGCTGGAAAACGCTTCTTCATGTCTTGGGACTTATTGAGGATAGCTCAACTGAGCAGAACGACACTTCTGGGGCACGTCTTGGATGCTGACCGCATGTTTGATGCTGCCAACGGAGATGACCAGCCGTCGACGGGCGCAGATGCAGCAATGCAGCAGCTG